CCCATTAAATATCCTCAGGTAGCAGTAGCTTGGTGGGTGGCTGCTAAATACTTAATGTCCCTGTAGGTACCCATTATTCTCAGAAAGGACTGCCCTGTGGAGACTTGAGAATATCATGACCGGTTTGATCAGGAGTAATAGTGTGCTGTGTGTGTGTGTGTGTGTGTGTGTGTGTGTGTGTGTGTAATACTGATAGAGTCAACAGACATAGATAGATGATAGATAGATAGATGATAGATAGATAGATAGATAGATAGATAGATAGATAGATAGACAGACAGTAGAGCAACTCCATTTAAAGGTTCTTTTTTATATCCTACTAAACTCTAATTGAGGATGGTAATATTGCTTGTGCTGAAACATTCTACCAGTGGAGTCGGCAAGAACTTCCTGTAAGATGGAAATTTTAATCCATGTGTGGTGCATGTTAATCAGTTCACTTTTAAATACCTGAAAAGTGGCTGGATATTAGAGTTAAATGCATGGAAATTGCAAGTACTAATGCGATGCTCTTTCTACTCTATGTCAAGAATCTTAATCTTATTTTATGTGTCTTAGAGCCATCACTTGTTTTGGAGAATGTGTAGTGGAAATCAATAGTAAAGAGACGTGTCTTAGAAGGATGTCGGGCACACAGCTAAGTATTCAACAAATGCAAGATATTGCTTCCAAAATGATCATAGACCTTAGGACAGCTACCCACGAGTATGCGTTATGGGAATTAAAAGGATAGTTTTCAGGGGTTTTTGCAATGTGTAGGATTTTTCTATTTATAGTTATTTATATTGCATGCAAAGTTGTAGGATTTTCTTAATGATGACAAGATATGATGAGAAATACACAAGATTGAGCATCAGAAAAGCTGGGCTTGAGCTCCATTTCTACCATGACTTGTGTGAGCTTGACTGACATGGTACTTTTCTTTCTCATTTGAAACTGATGAGCTTAGAAAAAGTTATTTATGACATTCTCACCTGAAATCTGATTATAATTTATAAACTGTTATCAACCAGCATTTGGAAGCTAAAACTCCTCCTACGTGATTCATTCAAACTCTCTTGAGAAAATTATTTTCTCTTCTCTTTACTTCTTTTTTTTAACCACTCTTTAGTTACTCTCATGGTTATGAGTGGCCTTTGGAGAATTCCTTGTAGAACTGTTACGTGCAGTCTTCCTTCTGCCTCTGCAACTCCTCTTGAAAGAGTTTCCACGTATTTTCCTACAGTCCTGCAATGCTCAGTGGCTCCCCTACCTAGAGCCAAGGGAGCACAGAATTTCAAGAGGCATAGGGGTTGTGCTCTTACTCCCAGACCATGAGCCTGGATGCAGTTATGCATTGCCACAAAGGAAAGAGTGCTTCCTCCCTCCATATAAACTAGTAGAGACCCTGTGTCTTTCCTCAACCCCAGCCCTACCTCAGGAAACTGTTGGATTAAATATGACACAAAGTACTTCTCTTCCCCGAGAAGTAGGAGGTTTGAATTAAGAAATTCATAACTTACTATGCAAAACACACAGTCACATTAAATATTAAGAGTGATTCCCATCCCAGAGTAAGACTTAATTGTACTCAGGTCAATGGGTTTTTTTCCCAGTTTCCTAGCCCCTCTTTCCTTGTCAGTTGCACAGCATGGACAATGAAACACGAACTAGTAACTGCACTGTAACCCCCATCCCTTTGTCCTTTAGCCGTAGATTTAGCCCAAGAGTCCCCGACGGAGAGATAAGTGGGTGTGTGGGCAGAGAGAGGAGAGAGATACTCTGAATAACAGGATCATTCTAGTCACTACAGAGGTGTTTTATATGAGACAGGAATGATGTTTTGGCCCCACCACAGCCTGGATGACTTATATTCAACACGTTTGTACACCAAACAACCTGTAGGTCACTAAAGGGATTTTTCCAGGTACTTTGGCAGCATGAAAGGGATCACTGTAGAAATAGGAATTGGACCTTCTGGTCCCCAGAGTAGTAGATTTGTTTTCCTCCGTTGTAAACATATAAATGAGAATTAGGTGATGATACTTCAGTGAATTAGGAATTTAATTAGCATATCTCAGTAACCCTGAGATCTAAGTAACCCTGAGACTTTGACCAGCTTAAGCCTTTGGATGTGAAAAGCTGAGGAGTAGAGCCTGGATCATGGTGAATTCACCAAGATAACTCTACCTTGGAGATATTTTGATGGCCAATCAGCTCCCCTTGACAGTAGCTCTATCTTAAGAGAACCCCAGAAACACCGACTCAGGACTGGCAGAGCAGTTTTGTTGCTATTGTTATTGCTGTCTTGAGTAATTCTGAGGACCAGCCCAAGCCACGATCTTTTCCAGTACTGTTGTAGACCCTTTAAATAGTTTAGAGGGCTGGGGTGTTATTATTATTAAAGTAATAAAATACTACCTCTTTACCAACTCTCTGACAATGCCCATTATATTAACAAAACATGCATTATTTCATCACGGTTTAATTAATACCATGTTTAATAGGTATCTCACTTCATGCTAGATTCCAGTACTCTTTTCAAAAGAAGCAAGCTTAAGAATTTCTACTAATTTAATTGAGAGCAGTCTTAAATTAATTGTATAATTAATCTTGTCAAATTAAGTAACATTTCATACACTACCTTATTAAAGAAACTTGAATATTTTAAATTACCATGCTATTAGGCATTAATAAAGAAGTTCTTCTTCTGTATTGTTCTGCTTTATAACACAAAGAAGGTAATTGCAATATAAATTGCAATATAAAAGCTAATTTCTATAGTACATTAATAATTAGATACACATTATTCCCTTTTATTTTTTTAAATTCAATGGATGATCTTTTTTTTAAAAGAAAAATTATCCCCAAATGCCAGGATTTAACTATTCTGTTAGTGATTGATTTCAAAACTGGACCCTGGCACATTTTCAGGAGTGGTCTAGTTAAACCTGAAATACATAGCTATAAACATCAATAGTACCAACTACTGAGATCTCGAACCTCTTGAGTGATCACTTGCTTTTATGTTTGTGAATATGCAGCACATCTATTTCTTAGATGTAGGTAAAAAGTTCTAATCTCTAAGTCCCCAGAGAGTATAAAACACAGTGTCGCTACATCTAAAACCAGAGGTCTCTTCTCCAGAGACAATCAGATGTGACATGAGGACCATGTATGAGAAGAGAGATTTCAAATTGGTGGTGAGCCATGGGGTGGATAGGCAGGAAGGAAAAGCATAATGACTTACCAACATTTTAGAAATAGTCAAAACTCAGTCTTCATTTCAAAAACCATCACCTCTTAAATTCTGCGAGAATATGCATTTCCTATATATTTATTCTGAATTTTAAGATGCTGAGGCCAATGCCTTTGCTGACCTCGAGCTCTGCTCATCACTTATCGCATTTCCCAGGCATGGAATCTATGCCAAAGTAACCCAGACGCCAGCTTATGCACATTTTCAGGCAGATTTAAATGATACCACATTTCCTGATGATGCTTAAATATTAGCAATGGTCACATTGAAAGGGTTGCTATTGAGTACTTTATGCTCAAATCCACAGCTCTTAGTAGGCATTCAAAAAATACTTTGGGAAAGTGAGTAAGCATAGCTAGATATATAAAACAAAAAAATAGAAAGAGGTAAAAAAATTTTGCTAATGGGAGTATTTCTGATTAGCCTAATGAGACTCTTTTTCTAAATTTATTTGGTAGTGGCTGTTATCTGAAAATGGCTAATTCACTTAAGGTTTGGTTTTGATTTTTTTTTTAAGAAAAACATGAAATAATACCTGCCAGATTCATTTTTTCAGAACAACAGTTTGGGGGTACTAGGAGTGCAACGTTTTTTATTTAACCATTCAACTTTAATCTGGTACGTGGAAAATGTATCTAATGGGCTGAGTCAGTTGCATTCTAACTGATGTCAGTTGCTGCTTATCCTCTGATTCTGACTACCGTTTTCATTAGTTTTATTCATCAAAGGTTTCTGTCCTTTCTCCTTCTGAGCAAATGGTGGGATTTTATTTTTCCTCCACTTTGTGGTTAGATGTGGTCATTTGACCTCCTACAGCTTATGAAATGTGAGAGGAAGTGACTCAGGTAACTTCAGAGAGTAGTTTTTAAGCCCAGTCATGTGATTTATGATGTTTCCCTTTTCCCTGTCTCAACAAACATGGAAACGTGGAGATAGAGTGTCCTTCCCCCCTGGTTCCTGAGGGAAAATGACCCAGAGCATAGTCCCAGGGAAGCATTGATGGACATGAAGCATAACCATGCATCATGGGTGAGAAATACATTTGTGTCCTTTGAAGCTACTAATATTGGGGATTGTTCATTATAAAACCATAGATCAGTGTATCCTGACTACATGACCATGTCATTGCATGATGTGTCCCTGGACCACAGATAACCTGACATGCTGGGAAAGAGGACTGGGATCATATGCAGCAGGGGGCAATGGAAAGGTAGAAATGAATTCTTAATTGTTGCAAAGACATTTCGACCCTATTCAAAAGCTTAGAACAAATCTCCAATATTTCTATCAATCCTTTTGATGTTTTAGAAGATTGGGTTTACCTAATTTAAAAAAGAAAAAGGTTTGGAATAATATATGTAGAGTAGCTCTTGAAAAATACATTTAATTATTAATTATAGTGGAGGTGTTCTTGAAAAGGTTATTACGGCATAGATTTGAGTTTGTTCTCTTCAACTTTAGTAATATTTTTGAAAGTTATACTTATTTGCTGCTGATATTTTGGTAACACAGAAAAGCACAAAGAAGATAAAATTTACATCTCATTTTATCAAACCAAGAGAATCAATGTTAATGTTTGATACATATCTCTTTGTCTTTCCTTCCATGTTATGTTATAGGTGTACATGTTTAATTTTAGATGAAAAGCATGTTTTTAAATCAAAAAGATTGAAAAGTCTCCCTTTTCTCCTTCTTTCATTCTTCTGCAAAGAAGCCCACTTTTCAGATAATCCCATTGACATTTTGGTTTTTTTCCTACGCTTACACGCACACATGTGCACACATGTGCACACATGTGCATTCATTTTTATCTATATTATCTATATATTATTATATGTGATATGAAAATTCATACAAAATTATTTTTCACATAAATGATTCATTTAGAACAACATATTCTTCAGGCAACATAAAGCTCTTAGGCAAAATCATGTCAGTACATAAAGAGCTGCCTCATTTGTTGTAATGAATGCAAAGTATGTATTTTATATACAAAGGTGTGCCTCCAGTTATGTATTTTATATAAATATATGCTTCATTTATTTGTTTTTTAAACTGAATAAAGTATCCATCTGGGTATGGCTTTTCATACGAACCATGCTGTTTGGATTTTTTTTTTTACGTTTAAGAATCTAGTCTGTATTTCCTTTCATTATTAGATATTTAAAAAATGTTTACATCCTACATAAAAGCTTTAGACTGTTCTTAGATCTCTTTCCACCTACCCTGTTCCCATGAGCAAATTAGCTAAGTGGGACATTTTACTCAGGTGCTTCCTAATTGTGACTTGAAGAAGGAAGCCCTGAATGACAAGTGTAGCACTTGATTTTTAGCAGCTTGGCCTCATGCAAAGCTGTGAGCATCATGTTTCCACTGCAGTCGGCGGTGCCCTGCAGAGGAGCCCTCCAAGGCAGGCCGCCTGTCCCCTTCATGTCAGCTGCCTTGTCAGATGCTGGCACAGCTTTGCTTAAGACTTGACTTCCATTCTATCAGATTACAACTCACCTGCCACTGTCCCTCTGCCAGCAAGAAAGACACTGGAAATGTCCTCAGCTATAGATTAAGTCCCAAAACCAAGGATGGAGATTCAACAACTTTTACTCACTCAGGAGTCTTAAATGTCTCAGATTCTCCATTTTTCAGTAAGTATTTTTAAAAAATATTTCTGAACATCATTATACTTGTGACTGATATCTGTTATTTAAAAATATATGTTTACTGTTTATAGTAGCTTTATTTCTAAATCTTTATTTTATTTTGAAATTATAGTAAAAAACTTTTTTTTTTGCATGTACAGGTCTATATATTCTTAACACAGGTATAGATTCAAGTAAACACCATGATAGTTAGGCTACAGAACTGTTCTATCACCCCCAAAATTTCCTTTTGTGTCCCTTTGCTAGCTCTTTGTCGTCATATTCTCTCGTAGCCCCTAAACTATGACAAGTGAGCTCATCTCATCCCCAGTTTTGTCTTTCAAGTATGCAATATAATGAAATCACACAGTATGGAATCACACAGCATGGAATATTTTGGCTCTAGTTTCTTTCACTCAGCAAACGCCTTTGATATTAATTCAAGACATTTCTGATATCAATAGTTAATTCCTTATTGCAATAGTGTTCCATTGTGTTAATGTGTGACAGTTTGATTATTCATTCATCCATTGAAAGATTTTTTTCCCTGTTTTGGGCAGTTATAAACGGGACTGCTATAAACATTCATGTACGAGTGGTGGTGTTAATATTATTTTCATTTTTAAGGGTAGATACTCAAGAAATAGAATTGCTGAGTCTTGTGGTTCTTGCTTGTCTGACTTGACGAGGAACTGCTAAATTGTTCCCTGTGTAGGTGCTTCCCATTCCCACCAGCAATGTAGGAGAATCCCATTTTCTCTGTTCCATTGCTTGACTTTGGTACAGGCATAATTTGTTTCATTTTAGCCACTCTAATAGATATGTAGTGGGATTTATCATAAGTTAACTTTGCATTTCCCTAGCAGCTAATTACGCTGCTCATCTTTTCATGGGTTTATTTGCCTTATTTATATCATCTTGGGTGTCATGTATTCAAGTATTTTGCCTATTTTCAGTTGGGTTTTTGCTTCCTGTTGAGTTTCGAGCAGTCTTTATGTATGCCGAATAAATGCCTTTGCAGATCTATGATTCGTAAACATTTCCTCCTAACTTCCAGGGTTTTTTCTCTTTAATTCTCAGTAGTTGCTTTCACACTGAGAAAGTAATTTGGATAAAGTCCAATTATGGTTTGTGTTTTTACATCTAAGAACTCATTGTATAATTTCAGATCATAAAGATTTGTTTTTAGGTTTTCTTCTACGTATTTTATGGTATTAGTCTTTATACATGTAGATATATGAGCTGCTTTCATTTTTATGTGAGGTGTGAGGTTTAAAATGAAGACTTAGTGTTTTGCATATCAATTGCATACCGATTTTAGAGTCAGACTTTCCAACTTAATTTATTGAAAAGACTATCCTTCTCCATTGAATAGCCTTTGCACCTTTGTCAAAAATTCATTAACTGAATGGGTTTGGGTCTATATTTAGGCTATCCATTCTGTTCCACTGACCTTTGCTAACATTCCACCTTTTTCTTAGCTTTACAGTAAGTCTTTTTTAATTTTTAATCTTTATGAGTACAAAGTAGGTATTTGTATTTATGGGGTACATGAAATACTTTGATACAGGCATACAATGTGTAATGATAACAGGGAAAATGGGATATCCATCACTGAAAACATTTATTATTTCTTTGTGTTACTAACACTCCAATTAAACTTTTAGTTAGTTTTAAATGTACAATAAATTATTATTTACTGTAGTCACTCGTGTTATCAAATACTACTCTTATTTATTCTATCTAAGTATATTTTTTTACCCATTAACTATCCCCGCTTCCCTCATATGTGTGTCTTTACAGGTGAAGTGTGCTTCTTGTAGGCAGCAGATCCTTGGTCAATTTTTTTAAATCCAATCAGCTAATCTATGTCTTTTGATTGGATATTTTAGTCAGTTTACATTTAAGGCTTTTACTTACTATTACTGGTAAGTAAGAACTTCCTACTACCATTTTGTTGCTTGTTTCTGGTTGTTTCATGGTCTTCTCTTCCTTCTTTTCTTCTGTTCTGTCTTCCTTTTAACCAAGGTGATTTCCTGTGGTGGTATGTTTCAATTTCTTGCTTTTTTGTTTGTATCTGTTGTAGGAATTTTTTTATTTGAGGTTACCATGGGGCTTGCAAATAACATCTTCTAACCTATTATTTTACACTGATGACAACTTAACACCAATTTCAAAAACAGACAAATTAATAAGCAAAGAGAAAACTAATAAAAACTGTATGCTTTTAACTTCATACTCTCTGTTTTTTACCTTCTATTGTTTCTATTGATATTTCATTATATTGTCCATGTCTTGAAAAGTTGTTGTAGTTATCATTTTGGGTAGGTTCATCTTTTGGTCTTCCTACTCAAGGTATGAATAGTTAACACACCACAGTAATGGCGTTATAATATTCTGTGTTTGTCTGTGTACTTACTATTACCATTGAGTTTGTACCTTTAGCTGATTTCTTATTAACATCATTTTCTTTCAGATTGAAGAACTCCTTTTAGAATTTCTTATAGGACAGATCTGGTGTTGATGAAATCCCTCAGCTTTTGTTTATCTGGGCAAGTCTTTATTTTTATAGTAAGTCCTAAAAGAGTAATCTCTTTCTAACTTTATTCCCCTCCTTTCAAAATTTTTGGCATTCTAGTTCCTTCGCTTTACACATGAATTTAAAATCTTTCCTATATTGCTAAAAAAATTCTACTGAGATTTTGATTAAAATTGAATCAAATCTATAGCTCGATTGTGAATGATGAACATCTTTAATATGGCGAGTCTTCTAGTACATGAAAAAGATATGTTACTTCATTTATTTAGATCTTTTCTGATTTCTTTCATCAGCATTCTTTTCAGCATAGCAATCCTGTACACGTATTCTTAGATTTATACATCTAAGTATTCCACCTGTTTTGGAGCTATAATAAAATGTTGGCTTCAGTTGTCCACTGCTAGTTGACAGAAATACCATTGATTTTTGTGTTGATCTTATAGCCTGTGTCCTTGCTAAATTATTAACTTAGTTCTAGGACTTCTTATACAGAAATTCCCATTTCTAGAGAGACAATCATGTCTATGGTTAGAGACAGTTTTATTTATTGTTCTTTGGTCTGTGCCATTTCTTTCTTATTGCCTTATTGCACTAGTCAAGATTTAAGGTGCAATGTTGGCTGGAAATTGTGGGCATGTACATTCTTTCCTTATTCCTGACTTCAGAAGGAAAATATTGTCTGTCATCAGTAAGCATGATGTTAGATGTGGATTTTAACTGCTCATTAACAAGTTGAGGAAATTCCCTTCTATTCCTGATTTCTTGAGTCTTTTTTTTTTTTTTTTAACAATAAATGGATGTTGAATTTTCTCAAATGTTTTTTCCATATCAATTCAAATGTTCATAAGACTTTACTTCCTTGGCTACTAATATAGTAAATAATATTGATTGATTTTCAAATATTGAACCACTCCTGCATTCCTGTGATCAGTCCCAATTAGTTGGGATGTACAATTTTTAAAAATATGACTAAATTTACTTTGCTAACATTTTGTTAAATTTTTTTAATCTTTGTCCGTGAAGGAAATTGGTTTGTACATTTTTTTTAGTGCCTTTGCCTGATTTGTTAACAGGGTAATGCTGTCATCATAAAATAAATTATTAAATATTTCTTCTTCTTCTATTTTCTTGAAACAAGTTTTTGTTAAATATTTGATAGAATTAATCAGTAACACCATTTAGAAGTTCCTTTTTTCAAAGTTTTAAAAATGGTTAATTAAATTGCTTTAAAAGTTATAAGACTATCCAGTTATCTCTTTAAACTTAGGTGAGTTTTGGAAGTTTGTGATTTTCAAGGCATTAGTCTGTTTCACCCAAATGTTTGATTTTATGTAACTACATTTGTTTATGGTATTCTCTTATTTCTTTTTAACAGTTGCAGAGTATAGTATTTTCTTTTATTTCTGATATTTATAATTTCTGTCTTCTCTTCATTCTTTGTTGGTATTGCTGGGACAACTTTGATTTTTGTGAATTTTCCTGATGAGTTTTGTGTTTCCATTTCATTAATTTATGTCCTAATCTGTATTCCTTCCTCTGTCTGTCTTGCTTTGGATTTCTTTGCTACTATTTTTCTACATTCCTAAGGTGAAAGGTTGAGATTATCTACTTGACTTACTTTTTCTTTTCTGACACAAGCATTGAATGCTATGACTTTCCTCTAAGCACTGCTTTGGCCCTGTCACACCAATTTTGACATGTTTTATGTTCATTTTCTTTCAATTCAGAACATCTCTAGTTTTCTCTAGGCCTGCCTACCTCCCCTATGATTATTTTGTAAATAATCATAGTGTTGATTATTAATAGTAGTGCTGAATATTAGTAATCATAGTGTTTTTAATTTGCAAGTGTTTAGAGACTTTCCTATTATCTGTCTGTCATAGATTCTACTTCACTTTCATTATGATTATGTAACCTACTCTTATTATTTAATTTAGTTATTTCACATGTGTTAAAATGTCATCCCAACCTCCACCCGCAACTCCCTGAGGATGAGTTCTGTCTTGGTGAATGTTTCAAATGCATTTGAAAAAAATGTACATTCTGAATTGCTATTGGGTGGAATATTCTATAAAGTTTAATTCGATCCCATTGGTCAGTGGTGATGTTCATTTATTTCATATGCTTGCTGATTTTCTGTCTCCTGCTTCTACAGATTACTGTGAGAGCAGTGCTGAAGTCTCTAACAGCAACTGTAGATTTGTCTATTTCTCTTAATTGTGCTAGTTTCTGTTTCATGTGAATTGTTATCTGTTTTCAGGTATGTACACATGGAGAAATGTTTTGTTATCCTGGTAAGTGAATACTTTTATCATTATGTAACGTCTTTCTCTGTCTCTGGTGTTTTTCTTTGCTCTAAAGCCCAGTTTGTCTGATATTAATGTAACCACTCATGTTTTCTTTTGATTAGTGTTTGTATGGTATATCTTTTTCCATCCTTTTACTTTTTGCTTGCCCATATCCAATGAGCTTATTGTAGGCAGCATGTAGCTGGGTCATACATTTTATGTCATGCATTCTGACAATCTGTACTTTAATCAACATTTTTAGACTATTCACCCTTAATGGAAATGCCTAGACTATAATAATATATTTTATATTATATTTAATTATAATACTACTTATTTGATGTTCGTTCTTCTGTTTATCCCCTTCCCCTTTTCTATCTTCTGTTTATTTTGAACAGTTTTTAAATATAATTTAAATTATCTATTGCATTATTTACCATATCATTTTGTATACATGCTTTAGTGATCATTCTAGGGTTTACAATATATATACTTAAATTTCTACTTAGAATCAATATTTTTCTAGCTTAGCTGGAGTATTCTGACTCAGGATATAACTGCAGTCATCCCAGAACTTGGCTGTGGTCGAAAGATCTGCTTCCAAACTATTTCATGTGGTTGTTGGCAGGCTTCAGTTCATTACAGGCTGTTAGAGGGCCTCAGTTTCTTATCACGTGGGACTATCAATAAGGCTGCCCTCAATATATTAGCTTGCTTTCCACAGGATGGATGGGGTGTGTGTGTGTGTGTGTGTGTGTGTGTGTATGTGTGTGTGTCAGAGAGAGAGAGAGAGACATACCCAGGTAAAAGTTGCAGTCTTTCACAGTCTTTTTATAATCTATTCTCAGAAGGGATATACCATTACTTCAGTCAGCTATTTGTCACACAGATCAATTCGGGTAAGGTTTGAGGGGGTCTACAGGAATCATTGGGGCCTTGGGGGCTTGGGGGCTACCACATCACTATCACTGCTAGGTCCATAATTCAGTGTTCTCTAGTCTGATGGGGACATTCCAATTCCAGTTTAAGTCAGTTTAGTTATTTCTAGATTGTTATCTGTGGCTGTAATCCAGGTACTCATGATGCTGGGGGACAGCATGTAGAGTAGTTTTAAATTTTAGCATTTATCTAAGGCCTCTCAATAGTTGAGAGAAGTCCAACTTATATCTTTGAAGCTTATAGAATAGTAAAAAGTAAAAAAGAGCTAAGAATACAAAAATTATGATATATTTTAAGTGTCTATATTTAATTAATTTTTTTAACAAAGGTACACAAACATTTTGACTACACTGATGGCCTCCTTCAAGGATACCCTGACAATTCTAAACATAAAGATTTTCATGAATGTAAAACCCCCAAAAAGCACAGCCATATGATCTTTCCCTTCTAATGACCCACGGACCGTGACTGGGAGGATACTTTACTTCTTCAAAATCTACCAGCAAGGCTCACAGATTCACTTGTCTGGAAGTCACCAGTATTTCCTGGTTTGGTGTTCTGGTAAAGTCTGGATCTAAGAGGTAGCTGCTTAGCAACACCACTTTTCTAGACCAAGTGTGCTTGTCTGACCCCTTGATCACTAATTATATTTGACTTAGAGCTCAGTGTAGACTTTTGACTTGGCAACTGACTAGTCACTTGGTGGCATTTATTGAGTTCAGTCTGTTCTACTGGAACTGAAGATAAAGACAAAAAGGCCATTTTTTTTTTTTTTGAGACGGAATTTCGCTCTTGTTACCCAGGCTGGAGTGCAATGGCGCAATCTCAGCTCACTGCAACCTCCGCCTCCTGGGTTCAGGCAATTCTCCTGCCTCAGCCTCCTGGGTAGCTGGGATTACAGGCACGTGCCACCATGCCCAGCTAATTTTTTGTATTTTTAGTAGAAACAGGGTTTCACCATGTTGACCAGTATGGTCTCGATCTCTTGACCTTGTGATCCACCCGCCTCAGCCTCCCAAAGTGCTGGGATTACAGGCTTGAGCCACTGCGCCCAGCCAAAAAGGCCATTGTTATGTCTTAGGGTCACAGTTGGTGCCATTCATGATGCTGTAGCAACAAGTTTTATGCCGTCCTCCCATGTAATTTACATTCGGTATATTAGTTGCTTTAGAGTGAAATTTATGAGTGACATTTCTCAGGTGGCAATTCCTAAATAATTACACATTTTCTGGAAAATGCTTATTTATTCAGTGCACTCTATGGATCAAGTATTTCATCCTATTTTCCATTAGCTTTGGAAACATAGAAGCTCAGAACCCAATTGCAGCTGTAGAAAGTGCACAAGACCTGTGTCCTGCTTTCTTCTTACTGACTTAACCACAGGATTCCTCTTATTTTCCTTCCTTCTGTTTTCTTCTCTTCCTTAATTAGTCACCTAATTTCCAGTAGTTTTTTTTTAAACCCTTTGAAATTATATATAGATAAACAAGATTAAAACAGAAGACAGTAAGGAAGAAATGGAAGGAATATACTGATGAGTCTTGTAAGAAAATCTTTTAATAGTAGGCATATATTTTGAATAAATAGAGTTATCCAAACTGCAAAGCACCGCACTGTGAGTTAACAGGGCATCCCTTACTGCAATACAGGCTATGTGGTCAATTTTCAGATGCGTTTCAAATGAGGTCCATACTTTGAGTGGAGAATATGTGTCCATATGTCCAGCAATTAAGGCTGAGACTCACTTTTAAGGAGCTTAAAAAGATATTAAATTAATTCCACTTCTTTTTCTAATGATTTCCTGTGGTGAGAAACACTATCCATAAGTGATATTACTTTTCTGTAATTAAGTTGATCTGATCCTTATGATGGGTACTTTCATATACTTCTGTGTATGATAATGATGTCTATGATAAGCACGAAAAGGGCCTAATATCACTTTTGAATCACAAGCCCATCCCCTCAAAATCCCCTAAAAATAAAACATCTAGTGTAGTTTTGAGTACCGTTTAATAGTTTATTTAACTAAAAATTGGTGATATGGTAAAAGGCTATTAACCCGAATGTCCCTCCTTCACCACTCTGTTAAGCAGTATAGAGTTTATAGAATTACATGTCATGGTTAAGACCTCTTCATGGTTGTCGATGCCATTTGGTTTGTGTATAAAGAACAGGCATCTTTTCTAAATACCAATCTGCTTATCCCAGTGGTCCTCGTATCGGTCTTCTCTTTTCCCTTCTGGGATCAATAATAAACAGCATTTCAGGAATGTCTTAAAATATTGGGCTCCTGAACCACTGCATAATTTTTGTGTGAAACAGACATTTAGAGATGGCTCGGGGAGGCTGGTGTTGTTATTCAGTGACACATATGCTGGGATTTCTCCTTCCTAGTTTTTTAAAAAGATGGCGAGCCTACAATCATCCAAAATTTTATTGTCTTTTTTTTTTTAGTGCCAACTACAGCTTCTGTTTCTATTCGATAAATTTCCATTGTAAACATGTATTTTTTAATGGAACATAAAGGGCTTCAGTCACTGAGGTCTTCTCACTTATGTCTCCTACTTGACATGTCAACAGCTTCAAGACACCACAGAGTAAACATACCTCAAAACTCACAGAGGGAAGAAAATGCAAAATGATGTCAGGAGAGAAGCAGATCCAGGCGGAATATCACCATGAGGCAGCAGATCCTTGATTCGAACATCCGCTTAACGATAATATAGATACCACGTGAGATATGTTTCAAAACTGGATAGCAAGTTGTGAACTGTTTTGAAGCCAGGTGGTTATTTTCGTTGTTGTTAAATAGTGCATATATTCATAGTAAGAAGTCAATAACTCTCAAATATTTGTAGTAGATTTTAATAGACCCCAAAAGTGAAGGTGAAATTTTCCCAAACAGATTCTTTCTTCTCTAGCAAATCACTTCCAGACTCTATTGGAACAAAAAAGAAGTTCTTTTAAGCTTTTCTTTTCTTTTTTCTTTTCTTTTGAGATGGAGTCTCGCTCTGTCACCCAGGCTGGAGTGCAATGGCTCTATCTCGGCTCACTGCAACCTCCACCTCCCGAGTTCAAGCAATTCTCCTGCCTCAGCCTCCTGAGTAGCTGGGAATGCAGGTGCCCACTACCATGCCCAGCTTATATTTGTATTTTTAGTAAAGACAGGGTTTCATCATGTTGGCCTGGATGGTCTGGATCTCCTGTCCTTGTGATCCACCCACCTTGGCCTCTCAAAATGCTGGGATTACAGGCATGAACCACCTCGCCAGGCATTTTTTTTTTTTTTTTTGAGACTGAGTTTCACTCTTGTTGCCCAGGCTAAAGTACAATGGTGCAATCTCAGCTCACTGCAACCTCCCCCTCCAGGGTTCCAGTGATTCTCCTGCCACAGCCTCCCAAGTATCTGGGATTATAGGCGTGAACCACCATGCCCTGCTAATTTTGTATTGTTTTAGTAGAGAAGGGGTTTCACCATGTTGGTCATGCTGGTCTTGAACTCCTGACCTCAAGTGATCTACCTGCCTCAGTCTCCTAACGCACTTGGAGGGATTATAGGCATGAGCCACTGTACCTCGCCCTATTACCATTTTTTTCTACATAAGAAACTACAAAGAACATTTAAAATGATTTAGTATATATGCTCAGAATTCTGGCAGTTTCACTAAAGGCCATAAAAACCAACTGCATTAACACTTCTTTTTTTTGAGACAGGGTCACTGCAACCTCTGCCTCGTGGGTTCAAACGATCCTCATGCCTCGGCCTCCCAAGTAGCTAGGACTACAGTCACATGCCACCACGTACAGCTAATTTTTTTTTTTTTTTTTTTTTTGGTAGAGATAGGGTTTCACTGTGTTGGCCCTGCTGGTTTCAAACTCCTGGCCTCAAGTGATCCACCCACCTTGACCCCTTCAAAGTGCTGGGTTTACAGGCATGAGCCACTGCACCTGGCCTCAGTGAACACTTATCCCCACACTTCTGTACCCTTGACAGGGGTGTTTTGAGGGTACTGGTAATAACTGAAAAATTAAATATAAATGAAATTGGAAGATGTGTTTCATAAACATTTTGGGCAGACTTGCATGGCTATGTTCTTTGCACCCCTCTATGAATACGGCATGAAGGAGCTCAGCTGCTACAACAGAGGACTTCCACCTTCTGCGTTCGGTTTTCTCTGAAATCTTCTGGCAAACGAATGGCACTACTGATAAAAATTCAACAGCTGCATAATTATACCCATGAGTTTCTTCTGCGGGAAGCAGCATTTGACAGCAAACGTGATTTGACCACGTGACTAAAGCTACACCACTGTTTAGGTTAGAATTAAAAAATATAAGGAGACATATGGGGACAACTCTGTATATAAATATCAGTAGTGGAAAGAGAAAATTGCATGTTGTATTATAATTTCATGGACTTTTTGCTTTTCTTATTTCCACAGATTTGATTATTAATAATAAATTACACATCTAAAGGAATTTATAGCTCCCCATACAGTATCTAATTTGATACTCATAATTCTGTAAAAGGTATTATGATTGTGACTTTACAGATGAAGTGAAACAGAGTAATTTAAGAGACTTACAATCATAAAATTGTAGTGCTGTAAGGGAACTTAAGATCACTGTCTGGTTTGCAAAAATTTTTTCTTTTCTCTTTCTTTCGTTCTGTTTTTTTTTTTTTTGGCCAATAAACATTTTTTTTTTCCAATCAGAGTGTTCGTGTAGAAACTCATAAAACAGATTAAAGTGCTATATGATTTACTTTTAAGTTCAAATTTATAATATTTTTTATTTATAAAATCAATGTGAGAACAATGAAAGTGCTTGGACCAATCCAACATTTAAAACTGGTTACGCGTGTCAATAGCTGTGATGTATTTTTCATAAAATCCTTCTTTACTTCCTTTATTTATAAGTAAATTGCATTTACTTTTTATTTCCTACTTATGTCTATAGGTTTTAATTGTGTGATATTAAAGATATTTGCAATTGGCATCAAATAGAACTCGTAGCTGGCCTCTGATTTTTTTCTTTTAAATAGATTGTGAATTCAGATTATTCTTAAAACGATCCCCAAATGCAAAATAAGTAATTGAAAAATTTTTTTCACAGTTGAATCACTAACAGTCTCTAATTACTTTAGTCTTATTATAAATATAATAATCAGATGGAAAATATCTGAAACTTATAATACAATTTATGATTCGGTATTATCCTAAGACAGTAAGTTATCTAATGCTACCTACAACACAAGTAACTATAATGTTGTGATAAAGACATGAAATAAACAGATGCTACTCCAGCCTCTCTGGGAACTTCAGTATGTGTACTGGGACAAGCAGTACAAAATAATCAGTTGAGCACATATCATTATATATGCTTACCTGTGGAACTCTACTAAAATAAGTAGATAATTTTTTTTTAAAGAATATAGCCTCAAAGACAAAGACAATGTTTGAAGAGACAGGAGCCGCTAAGAGATATTACCAAATTTTGAGAAGACAGAAAGCTGACTGAGGATAGGTAATTGATATAGCAGAACAAGAAACATGAACCTTACATTTCTGCAGGGGAAAATTGCAAGGCAGTTCACCGCTCAAAGAGAGGTTCAAGTGTGGGGTGAACCAGGTGACCTGGAAAGTGGTGAACGTTTCAAGGCTGAATATAGAGGCATTGACGGGATGTCTGTATAAGGAATGGTTAGATACCCAGATACCCTCCCATCCTCCACACAGCCAGTGACAAACATGCCCTGAATCTTTATGCTCTGGAAAAATAGACATAGTATGGGCCTGGATTTGGGAACATTGAATTCTATGGGGTTGGGATTTTCATACCGACAGCAAGGATTCCTCTTTGGAGAAACTGAATTATCCCAAGACTAGACCCCACAGAAATGGACATTTACATGCCTACATGAAAATGCCAGTTTATGATATTATCACTCTAGTGCACAGCTCTCTTATATAACAAGTTCTTTCCATTCAGGCTCATCTAGTTATTTCCTTTGTGATTTATTCTTTAATCTGAACAGCAGCCAAGATCATCATAGATTGTAGGAAAGGCTCCAACATGAAAGACAGAACCAAAATAAATAAATACTGTAAAGTGCTTAAGAAACAGAGACAAAAAAGTAGAAGACAACTTCAATTATGCTCACAAATATTGTATTAGAAAAGAGAAACTATTAGTTCATTTCATGAGAAATAAGGCTGTTAAAAGGAATATTTAGAAAAAAATTAATAGTCATGACAAATATATTTTAAAAAGTTCTAGTAGATATATAGAAATCGAAATCTAAGCATATAAAAACCAAAGCAATTGCTAATTCCAGAGTAAGAAGTAGTCAGAGGAAGCAGACAATGAAGGTTAAGAAAAAAGAGTGGGAACAAAGAAATTAGGCCAAAAGGACCAGGAGAAAGAAAGAGAACAAGTAGTAATACACAAGAATGAAAAGTAGTACACTACTTGGCTCAACAGTAAACAGTGTTTCAAGGTCAAAATAAATCTTTAACAATGTTTCAACCAACATGACAATGTAACTTTTCAGAGGAAAAAGGTAGGTAACTGGAGAGAGGACATTTCCCTTCTTCTCTTAAAACAAGATGTCAGCAAGTAATATCTAAAATAAATAGATCATGAAATAGCAAATGATACTAGAAACATGCTTCCAGGAAATGAGATTGGGAAAGGGTGAAGCAGGGAATAGTTTACATTTGTCACAAGATTTTGATACAATTTGTTTTCTTTCTGTCATTCTTTTTAAACTATATGCATGCATTGCTTTGATACATACATAAGCAAGTAAATGAACTTCCAGATGTAAGGGCTAGTCCGGAACTGATAAAAGAATGCTAAAAATATTCTATTTTCTGTGACATTTACATGACTTGTAAATATTGTAAAACAAAATATTTAAAAAGAAAATGTTTGGAAAGTATAGGAGACAGAGTTATTGAAACCCACAGACTAAGTCTCGTATAATTTGTATCTTTGTGTTCTTTCTAGTACATCCTTTCTGTATCTTACTTGCCAGTCTTGTGGTCATTCAGCTGCTTACATGGTGGGATGGAGGATTTCAAAATATGCCATGGCCCACTGCCATTGTGCTTACAGACTTACAACATATCATGAAGATGCTACATTAAAGCCACTTCTTAAAGCAAATGCCATGTCCTAGAGTGTCATCTGCAGGGAAGCAGTTTGCACTTGACAGAAATCAAGGTCTTCTAAGTAAGTATTGGCTCTGTGGACCCAAACCTAAAATGTAACAGTTAAGGTAGCCTCTGGTTCAAGTGCAACTAGAGTGTGAAAGAGTCAGTCGTTAGTAGATGTTATGCTATTGTCATTGTTGAATTCATCCAGTCAGCTAGAAGAAAATCAGAGCTCTGAGAGAACAAGGTGAATAATTTTTAAACATTGATACGGGGGAAGGTCTTGTCCAATATGGTGGGAAATTGGATAAATCACAGGAAGAATGAAGGAACTGGGTGTCTGACAGGAATAGGGTTACTGAAAAGCAAAGAGGAGGAAGAAGGGAACTCAAACATTAGGTAGAAGCAGTTATAACCCAAGATAATCTTCAACTTGTTTCTAATTTTTACTAAGACTTTTTCTCAAGATCTGATTTAAAACTAATTTTTTCCATAAATCCAGATTTTTAACATTGAACAAGCAAGTTAAGTATAGTATTTCAAAGCCAAAAAATGTGCCCAGGCCAGCCCGTGTGTTGAATGTCAGATACATACTTCCCAAGGGGCAAATGCTGCTCTACAGCCATCCTCTGAAGCATTATCCATCTTTATGGGTTTTCTGAACTTGCAGTGAATTGTGTCATTTCTAATAGCAAATTGAGTATTTTCCTGGAGAGGAGGAGATGTTAACATTGATAGTGAGCTATAATGTTCTAAGAGAATGCACTTAAACATTTTGTTGAGAGACAATTTGTTAGTAAATAATAGAAAATAATAGAAGGGATTAAAGTGAGGCCAAAAGTTATAAATTATTAAAATCTATTCTTGATCCTACAAGAAGTAGCACAAAGAGAGCAAACGCACAAGTTGTCAGATATTCCACATTTTTGCATGTGGGCCAAACAGCTATGCATTTTCAGACCCCAAATAGATACCATCATCAAAACCACTGGACCTGAATCAGGCGTCCTTCCTTTCATGCACTTCGGTATGATCATAGGTAGGCCTGTTGTGTAGTTCAGACCTATGTATTCCTATCTGTAAATGTGCTTGTCCTTGGGAGCAGAGAAAAGAAAACTAGACTAGACTGTGGAAGATATCTGTAGTCTGTAGTGAGCAAAGACTCAACAAATATGATTCTAGATCATATCCTGACCTTCAAATTTTTTTAAATCAAAGATTAATATTTTATTGAAGTTAGTATAACTTGTAAGTTTTACCTCTCGGAACCTCCCATTTTGACAAATTAACCATTTCCTACTGGTCCTCATTCTGGTGACAAAGTCATGACATAAGCTTCAATGCTTGCACCAGAAGTGAAAGTTTCAGCTCTCGGAGAAAGCCATTACAAAAGGTTTGCTTTATTTTATTTTTATTTTTTGCCAATCAGTGTGAGCTTGTAAGGTTGCTCAGGTTAGCCTTGAACTCGTGACCTCACCTTCGCAAGCGCCAAGACATCCGGCAGGAGCCACTTTGGACCCCAGGTTTGCTTTATTAAATACCCTCATTCTATAGGCCAGTCATTACTTCTTTTATTTTATATTTATTTATTTATTTATCTATTTATCTATTTATTTATTATTTGGAGACAGAGTCTCACTTTGTTGCACAATTTTGGCTCACCACAACTCCACCTCCTGAGTTCAAGCGATTCTCATACCTCAGCCTCCAGAGTAGCTTGGATTACAGGCATGCGCCACCACGCCTGGTTAATTATTTATGTTTTTAGTAGAGACAAAGTTTTGCCATGTTGGCCAGGCTGGTCTCTAATGCCTGACGTCTGGTGATCCGCCCGCCTGGGCCTCCCAAAGGGCTGGGATTACAGACATGAGCCTCCACACCCAGCTGATTCATTACTTCTTAATTCTCCCTTTGCAAATGCTGTCTAATTTTGAATTCATGAGAGTCAGTCCTGTGTCCCTATCTTACTTTAGCTTTGAGAGAACAGAGATAGCAGAGGATATTATTGCTTCCAAAGACCCAAGCATCTGTTTGTCAATAAACTAAACCAAAGGTGCATTGGTAAAATTCAAAAGCTAGATCCTCTATGTGAATCAGATTTAGTATCATTGGATAATATCAAGACTCTCAAATTTAAGAAGGAAACAAATTACTCAACAGCACTGACTGGGTCCTACCTCAGTGCTTATCTTCACCACCCAGTGGAGTGGTTACACTACTGTTTCCTACCACGGTTTGTCATTTCGTTGCATTTCAAGGTTGTTTAGGGCCAGGGAGTTCTGCCAGCTAACAAAGCCCAAGAAAGTTAACGCCACATGCAACATGTGGACACAGCTTTGGATGATGTAAATTTCTCCTCTAATGCTAACAGACTTATCTACCCTTTTATCAAGCAAGAGAGAAGGTATGGAAGAACTCACGTACATCTATCTTTACTACTATGTTTAATCAAATCTGAGAAATCACTGGATACCAGAGATGTTACGATGTCGAAAAGAAGTCCTTGAAAATTGCTAAAATACAGCATTTGAAAACGACTCTGGTCCATGCTGTATTTAACACGGCTCACCTATGGCTTTTTTCAAAAATAAAAATAAGCACTAATATGTGGCCATCGGGTTGCAAGTTCCTTGAGATTAAGGACTCCTACGAATGACTTTAGTGATAGCTCAGGCAGATATCATTTTAAGATTTCTCTGCTGTGTCAAATCTCATTTCAGTTTTAAAATGCCTTGTGATTACACAGTACTATTTGCATGGTGCCCCTTTTAGCTTTTAGGTCACTTATATTTTGTCAATCAGTCCTACAGTGTGATTTATTTATCTATCTCTTAATAACCATCAGCAGAGAATAATTTCTCTGGCCTCGCATGGTAATTTGTACTGTAATTTCACCCCCGCTGCTGTAAAGTTAAATTCAGACACAGCTATGATTGCTAAAATTAAGATTTCTAGGTCACTTTTCAGCCTCTGTGGTTCCTGTCTTTCATCATTTCGTCCCACTCCATCTTCTTCAGTCAGAGTATGGTTTGTCAAGCACATGAGCAAAGAATCCGTCAGTTGTTTCTTTCAAATGTGGGGAGTACTTGATAGAGAACATTTCAGTACTTCAGTGAAATGGGGTTTTTACGGCCATCCTGTGTATCCTGAAGTTCAATTCAGAGAAATGTGAAAGGGGATATTTTTTAAATCACAGTCAGGTTACTTCCTAGAAACTCCTGCATTAGGAAACATCATATGGATAAAGAGAAAGGAATCAATATCACTAACTGGGAAAACTAAGTGCATCCCAGAGACAAGTAGACATCCTCTGTGGCAGGATTTCCCCAGCCTGTCATATTTTAATGGCACAGTTTTTGAAAAAGGACATTTTTCCCTTTCTTTTTCTATTTTTACACAGGAAATCATCTTTGAATTGTGCCAAATTAAGTAGAGTATGAATAGTGGTTGGGAAGTGGTTAGAATCTTCTCAAAGCACATTGTAGTTAATATTTAAGAGTAAGAGCAAAATTCCTGAGCAAGATGGGAGATGTAATTTCTGAAATATCAAAGCCTGTCCTTTATTTTTCTAGACCCATTAGTTACCAGTTGTGATTTAAAAGGGAACTCTGAATTCCATTTCTCTCAAATCATTCAATATTTTAAGTAAGAGGCTCTGTCATCTCTTTCTCCTTATTGTGGGTTTTTCTCTTTTGGGCCAATTCTCTGTTTCTATAAATGTGGACTTTTAAACAGGTTAGAACAGATCTATTATTAGTCACTGTTATTACCCACAGAGGCAGGAATCTCATTTGCAAAATAATTGAAAATAAAGGACAGTTTCTTCTTAAAAATCACAATGGCATTTTTTTTCTTTTGAGACGGAGCCTCCCCTGTCACCCAGGCAGAAGTGCAGTGATGCCATCTCACAACCCAGCTCACTGAAACCCCCGCCTTCCCAAGTTTAAGAGATTCTCCTGCCTCAGCCTCTCCCATGAGTAGTTGAGATTACAGGCGCCCACCACCATGCCCAGCAAATTTTTATTTTTGTAGTTTTAGTAGACACGGGGTTTAACCATATTGGCCAGGCTGGTCTTGAACTCCTGACCTCAAGTGATCTGCCTGCCTCAACCTCCCGAAGTGCTGGGATTACAGGTGTGAGCCACCACGCCCAGCCCACAATGGCAATTTTTATGAACACCTTTACTGTCGGCACACATAAAACAAAGTAAGTCGAGTTTATTGAATACTTTAGATGCCAAACGCAGAAACCCAGACAACAAAACCCTGCCCTTTTATAAGTTGCTGATGTTAGGTATCTCTATAGCTATCTCCTGGCTTAGCCACTGCCCATGCCAAAAAGAGGCTCTTCAGCAGAGTGAGTTCTGAATTTGAAACCCAGCTTCAACAACTTGCTGGTTGTGACTTTGAACAATCCACTCACATTTTGTAACATCTCTGCGTTGTCATCCAAAATATGGCAGAAATAATACCCATCTCTTGAATATATCATGAGTAAATTTTTTAATGCATAAAACCTCCATGCTTCTGCATGTAGTCCGCATACAGTAAATAAAGTTTCCTCTTCCCTAGATAAGAAGGACTGCTTAATAAATTATAAATCTTCCCGAGAATGCAAGGGATTATTATTAATATTGTGTTGCTTCTGGATTCTGAGTTTTACAAAAGAGTTTTAGAAAAAGAAATGAAATTTAGTCATTGTCTCACAGTACCTGGCATAAATAAGTACACAATAAAAGTCACCCTTCTCATCACTTTCCAAACTTTTCATCATTTATTAGCACAGATATGGCATGTCAAACAAAGATTTTTTTCTACCTCAAAGCAATTTTTTTCTCTTTGTCTTTCTTATCTAACATCAAAAGTATCCTTTTGAAAATTCATAAACACTTTAGAAAAGAAATACCAAATCCAAAGCTCCCCTCTCTTTCTCTTGGATGAAAATGAAGATCGTATGCATTTGGAAAACAAAGGAAAGAATTGGAAAGGTGTCCTGATTCATCCATTGCAGTCATTAGCAGTGTGCATGCATTTCTCAAAGTGGACATACATCTCTATTTTTGCAAATACTTTTCGTGTTTTCATTTTCCATCCTTACAGGAATTAGTACAAGGTATACAGCGATTATTATCCCAGACAAGTTAGTGGAGGGTGTCAGTTCCTGCTAAGCAACTTTCTTGGCTTTATCATCACTATTCAAATCACAAATCCCAGATTTACAATCCATTTTAATCCTCCACTGAATCATTTTAAACTAATTATTTGCACATTCAATTACAGAAACCAGGAAGTTATCTGTATAGAGTTCCAGTTTATATCTCTTTTTATTTCATGTATTTTTGAATCTTATTATTCTAAGATACATGCTTCAAAACAGATAGGTTAACTTATTTTATTGGCTTGCTTAATGGTTTTTTATTAGTGGTGATAGTATTTTGGAAGATAACACATGAAGTCTTTCTTTACATCATATTTATTCTTTCCACATAATTCCCTTATGAGTTTGGCCACCTGTTTTTGATACTGGATCAAGTCTCATTTTCTTCATATATAGAGAATTTCAGACTTTCAAACTGACTTAAACTTAGAAAGCTAGACCAGTCTTTTTGTTAAATATGACCCAATAATTTATAAACATGGTAAAAGAATAGATTTTGTTAGTCTTTTAAAATTATATAAATACTTATTCTAAGACCATATACTTTCAAGTGGAAAAAAAGAGGAAATTCAGTGCCAAGGTGCACTTTTCATGTGCAAGTTATTTTGTGCTGCATGATTTTAGTCATCCAGCATGTAACATCGCAACCCTTACCACTGTGAAATTTCCACAAATCCAAACCATGACAAAGCTATTAATAGTTTAGGATTATATGGGACTAAGCATTATAATAAATCAAAATGCGTTATCACATATTTGCACATATTATCTCATATTAGAACATTAACAGGGTATGTCAGCTATATGTCAGCTATGGAACCAAGGAGTCTAATTTATCACATTGAAATTCTATTCTATTTGAAGATACCTAGCAAAACGGTAGAACTGTTTAGAGTGGATTTTCCCGAAGAAAGAGTCTTCATAAATCTTACAGATTTTGCAATATTTAAACATGAACTAGAAAACCCATGAAAATACATAAAGCCTTTAGGTATAATAATCTATCCCTATCCCTTCACTGATGTATTTTAGCATATGGTTTCACAAACTTTCCAAACATGAGTTGTAATAAATGTTTTTATTGTATATGAGATGTGTCCATTATTTTTTCATTTTTTATTAAAAAAATATGAGCCATGAAGCATGATATTCAAACAAACACCCATGAACCTACCATCTAACCTAGAAATACAATAGAATCGATGCCAGCATATTGTTCAACTGGTTTCTGAATTTAATAAAAAAAATACTCTATGTATTCTCAGCATCTTTTCCCACTCAACATTATGCTTCTAAAATTTATTGAGGTCAATTAATACATCTGTAGATCACTAATATTTATACATGTATAGTATTTTCCTAAATGACTACATTACAATCGATCCATTCTCTCATTAATGGGCATTTGGTTGTTGCTAGACTGTTTTTCTTATCACATGCTGCTATTAACAGTGTCATAATTTCTTCTAGGGACAGGTATGCAAGAATTGTTCTAGGGTATTTATCCAGGAGGGGATCTGCTAGACCATAGGGTATTTTAGTTTGGATTCCCCAAAATCTAGGTCCTGAGACAAATAATTCTGTGCCTGGGAGTTTATTTGGAAAGTTATGACAGGAAGCAAAGTGAAGGAGTGGGGAAACACAGCAATGAAGGAAGAAATGCCCATAAATGGTATAATCACGTGTGGTTACTGCTGTGGGCAGCTGAAACCAATTCCACTGGAAACATTCAAGAGACTGTTAAACCTACCTCCGAACTGTCCCTCCAAGGAGAAAGAAAGTGGGGCTATTTATCCACCACTACTTGCCCCTCGATGTGCTGGGGGAAATTCATGCTCTGGCACTCTCAGGCCGACTGTATGTTTTACCAGCAAATTCTGGCAGATGCTTGAGAAGCTATCAGTGTGTATGGAGCCTGTTCATCTCACCTGCAGTCAGCTCCAGGGTTGGCCAGCAGGATGGGAGCAAGGCCCTGATGTCTCTACTACAGGGCACTGATACATGTTTAAAGTTGCAAGACAATGATAAATTGTCTTCTTAAGTGGTTGGCTCAGTTTAACTTTTCATCAATAGAGGAGAAGAGGTCCCTTTGCCCAGCATTGCCATTGTACCATGAAAGTTTTAAACTTTTGCCAACCTATGACATTTATTGTATTTCTCCAATTGCTAATGAGGTAGAAAGCATCTTTCTTTATATACACTTGTTAAACATTTGCATTTTCCCTCCTCCTTAGGTGCATCTATTTTAAACAATTGTTTTATATAATTTTTTTCAAATTTTAGAAATTACATATTTGGGGTACTAAATTTCACAGATATTTGTATGTTAAAAAGTGCTTAATTTTAACAAAGTTGAATTTATCAATCTTTTATGGATACTGCTTTTCGCATTGAGAAATCTACCCTAGGAATATAAAGATATGTTTCTATACTTAAAACTTGGAACACTTTGCTCTTCACATACAGATATTTAATTTTTCTGGAATTTGACTTCATGCATGTTGCAAAGAAAGATCCAGTTTTGTTCGTTTACTTAGGAATAAGCGTCACTTGTGAGACGACCCATCTTTAGCCACTCACCTCCAACACCACTCCTGTATTCTGTTGCCGCCTTATACTCATATATGTGACTCTGCTTTCCCTACATAAATACCTCATTGTTTTCATTATCACTGCCTTGTATATAGTTTGATATCTGCTCAGCCAAATTCCTTTCCCTTTTTCTTCCCAAGAGTAATTTTTACTGTTATTGGCCCTTTTGCCCTTCCCCGTGAACGTAAGAATCTGCTTTTCAAGCATGAAAACCTTTGTTGGAGTTTTTGCTACAATGACATTGAATTAGATATCAATTGAGGGCAACAGACACAGTGACAAAACCATGTCCCACTGTGTGAACAAAGATGATCTCTCTCTTTGTGTTTTATTGACTGTCTTTAAATGAAGTTTTATATATGCCACACTTTGTTTTTCTTCTAGGTACCCTATACCACCTTCAGAAGATTCCTTTCTTTTCTACTTTGCTAGAAGTCTTGTATCATGAAGGATGCTAAGTTGCACCTAATGTT